ATAATACCGATGGTGGCAGTTGCTGTTATTTACATGCTAAGCCGTTGACCTTAATTAAATCTGACAATATTATTCAGACATAGCGGTAAACGAGCTGCTTGTTGTGTTAGGTTAGGCTCTTTCGGTCGATTTCAGAGTGGGAAGGGTGACAGGAATTAGGGGGAGACAGGGGGCCTGGGCGGGAGTCTTTGAGCCTCATGCTCCGCTGGGGCCGAGCCCATCACGTGGGTTGGATTGCCCTGACACATGGATAGCCCTGGGCGGTGTTTCACGGTCCCGCGCTGCAGCACGCTGCGCTGCGCTGCCATGCATTGTAGCGGCGGTTGATATGAATTCGGCTCCACGCTAGCGTTACGAGCTTCCGAGTCTGTTGATGTTTCCATGGAAATTGGAAACCCAATGCACCGGTGCGCACAACGCACCCAGTCCAAGCAAAATTTTACCATCGATGACCTTTGGTGACATGACCTTTTGCTCTGAACCGATCTAAAATTGGCTGCAGTATTTTTTCTTCTTTTTGCTACTTTCGACGCTACTTCGAATACCACTTAAATGCCCAAATGAGAAGAGTCAGACATTTTGTTTTTCTCACAGACAATGACTACACAAAAACAATGTAATAAGACCAGACGTTTCGACAAAAAAGTGCTTTCGTCAGTGGAAAACAAGATATAGGCTTTACATCGATAAAAATATAGATTTTTTATGCTTATTATCTTCTATATTTTTATCGATGTAAAGCCTATATCTTGTTTTCCACTGACGAAGGCACTTTGTTGTCGAAACGTCTGGTCTTATTACATTGTTTTTGTATTGTCATTGTCTGTGAGAAAAACTAACTGCCCAAAGCTGAGTTATAAGAATGATGCTCAATCCCCATTTCCCCTCCAACAGGGCGTGAAAGTCTACGCATTCCTGTGGGGCACGGGCTAACAATGACTATCTCATAATCATTGTGGCCATGAACATCTACTGCCGTTCTTTAACACCGGTTTCACTGCGCTGAGTGGTGGCCGTCTCGTTTGTTGGATTCTACAGCTGGCTGGCGGAAAGCGTTACCGGCCGCCCGTCCACCGCCCGCGGGCCGGACCGAGCAGTCCCGCTGACCCTACCTGACCTGAGCCCGGCGCGATATGGGACGGGCAGACGGGGGTTCGGCTCAGCGAAGGCAGCGCCCACTGGTGCTGGGGACTTTTTTAATAGACCTACTGTACCTACTCATTATTACAACATAATGCACGCAAAAACGAACAATTTAAATGCGCGAAGCATCTTAACGAGTCACAATGAAACATTTGGTTGTTCCAGCTGGGATCTAAGACGCGTTTGATTCAGCGTTTCACCCAATTTTCAGCTTTCCTCACGGTTTCCTCACTCCTGCTGGACTCCATATCTTTATAGTTTATTCTAACTTCTGGCGCTTCACCATCTTCATCCTCAGCTTTTCAAACCCTAAATAAGGGAAAAGTAGGGAATTTCATCTTTCATACTCAACGGCCAGCGCCGCCCAATAATGAGAAACACAAAAAAATAATCGTGTTGACTATAAATATGAACATAGTATTAAAAGAATATTAACACCATATTAAGAATATAATATATAATACCAAATGAATATAATATTAACTGTTGCGCCGGTACGGCATGTGGTAAATCTCTTCCCAACCTTGGGCTGTGAAAATGCAGTTTTATTCACCTCGGTTTTTGGCTACGGACCTCGTGCCTACCGGCACTCGGTCCTCCGCACAAAAACCTCGGTGAATAAAACGCATTTTCCCAGCCCCGGTCGGGAATATATATTACCATGTTACCATGTTACAAGAAGGTGGCCATGGACAGAAGGTGGCTCCCTCGCGTTTCTTTCAGACTCTCCGCGCTCGACAAAATCAGATCGTCAGAGAACTGTCCGACTGTCGCGGACCAGGTGAACAATCCGCCAGCCGCCGGCTCGCTGTGTGGGCATCAGCGCCAGACCATTCCGAAGATCGATGTTCGGAGGTGGCGCGGAGCTGCGATTCGGCTCGGCCGAGACTCTGCCGCGCTGGACCCGATTCGATTTATTCATTTCACAGTGCGGTGGCAGGCGACTGGTCGGTTCGGTCGGTGCCGAATCAGCTCCCGATCATTGGTCATGCGGAAGGTAGGGGAGGGTGTTCGGCAATTGGTCTGAGCTGGCAGATGGCAGAGGGTGAAGTGAGAGGCTGATAGACAGAATAAGATTTTCGGGGCTGTGGAGTGCTCTAAAACGTCATTCCGTCGCCATTCAGCTCCATTTTTTTTGTTGTCCCGATTCAGCTGATCGTTTTAAGCCACAGTTATTTCGTTGGCTGGTGACTTATAGGTATGCTAAAGAGGTTATTGCCGCGACCCTTCCTGGTATAAACTGCGTCAGGATACGTTCTTTGATCTTTGAAAAAAAAAATAGTTCGCATTTTTTGGCTACCAACAAGACCCAAGTTAATGGGCATAATGACATACTGATAATAGCGATATCCGGTCTGGCTAATAGGGAGAGTCTGTCAACGAACTCGCTGCTCCGTCCCGGGATGGTCCAGCTCCCTCCATTCTCGGGCGCGCTGACGTCCGTACTTACCGTTGACACCCTGGTGGCACCGGTCCGTATTGATTATTGCACCTCGGGCAGGCCGTCTCGGCCGGCCGCCTGGCAACTTTCTCAGCGCGCGCCAGGAGAGGTCGTCACCACCGGTCTCGTCGGAGTTTGGCCACGGTATGGACACCCACGGGCGCTGACCTCCAGCATCCTGTTGTCCCCAACAGCGGTAGATCGCTCCGATCGAAACACTGACGCGCGACGTTGACCATTCAGGAGAGAGATATTACATTAGGAGGGGCCTGATGTTATTACCGGAAATGTCTCTTTGCTGGACGATGAGGGTCACTCAAGGGGATGTCACTCTGCCGGGCAGACTGCATCGCGCGAGCATGAGAGGCAAAGCACAACTACTGCCCACTAGCAAGTTTCTCGACTTCCGGATGATACCTATTAATATTTCTTTATTTGTTTTACTTCAATGAAAATCTTCGAAACATGACTAGTGTTTCTGACCCCGTCTGCCCAGGGAATTAACAAGAAACAGTCGCGACCAAAGCCTCTACTTCGCTGAAAGGCTTTCGAAGCTGCCTGCCCTCTTAGCGTCTAAAGTGAATAGCGATGGGTCATATTGGCCGTGGTGTCAGAACTACAGATCGCCTGTAGCAGTTCCGGTCTCTCTTGCTGTATGAAATCTATTATGTTCGGCGTGTCTACAGTTACAGATATACTGAGCCAGAGCGAGAAGGCCGCCGGGACACTGGAAACTTATTCAATGAGTTTCAAAAGATATGTTCAGTTAACAGATCTTTTATATTTTTAGATGGGCTAACATTAAAAGCTGGTAGTGTGCTGCTGATTATTTTGACCTTACGATAACTATGGATCGTTATCAAGTGCACTCCAGTGAAAGAGCACTGTGAGGAAATGACTGGATGCTTGATGTGTCTTTTAGCCGATAGTTTAGCAGCACTCAAGGAATGAATTGCAATGTTGTCCCATGTAATTGGTATCAAACAATTAACAAAGTTGTTCTGATTGCTTGCACGGACCTAGCTCCAACTCGCCGTAGCGGGGAGAGCTGTTCGGGTCGGCTGATAGAGCCGGGCCTTCCGCCCTGTTAGCCGCATTCTCCGGCCCATTAGGCCGTGGGCCATCGCAGCGTTTGGACGAGAGATTGCCAATGGCCTGTATTTCATCGCGTCGGACCGACGTTGGATCGAGCGCCCGCCCTGTCACTGGTGCGCCGCTCGCTGCTGCATACAGGCCAGGTATGGATGTAATTACCTCTCGGCACGCGCAGGTCGATACCGGGGCTCCGTGGAGTGTTTGCTCTCCGGTTGGTTCGCTCCGAACGGCGGTGGGTTGAAAGCAGTTGCATCTATGCTGCTCTGTACTTTTGGAGTGTCTGGATATTGGACGATCTTCAATCTTGGCAAGCAGGTACGAAGGTTGCTCTGAGGTCTAATCTCCCCAGTTGCCCGGTAGTCGTCTACTGTTGTCAATGTGAATTGTGCAGGTTTGCAACTGCAATATGTTCTGAGAACCCGGATAATGAATAAACTGTTTGTCATGATGCAGCGAAGCGCATATTCTAGCTCGACGTGAGTAATTAGTTTCATTACTCCTTTGTATACGTGTGCGAAATATTCAAGCTGTTGCAATTTCTTCAGTTCATTTCGAGCATTATATCAAATTATTTTAAGATAAGATGACTAATTGCAAGCAAATATGCCTTGAGAATCAACAAAGCATCTCTCTCCATATCTCTCTCTTTCTCTCTCTCTCTCTCTCTCTCTCTCTCTCTCTCTCTCTCTCTCTCTCTCTCTCTCTCTCTCTCTCTCTCTCTCTCTCTCTCTCTCTCTTTCTCTCTCTCTCATTCTCTCTCTCTCTCTCAATCTCTTTCTTTTTCCCCTGTTTTATTTCTCTCTTTTTCTTTATTTCTTTTTCTTTCTTTTTTCCTGTTTCTGATAACTTTGCCCCGATCAGAATTGTCGTCAAGCCGCGAACATCTGGAAACAGTTAATAATGTTGATTGCATTTCCATTGTTTTGACAGGCATGCCGTTATTAGCTGATAATCTCCCTGATTTGTTTCCTATAGTGGCACCGCAAAACTTGCAAGCGGCGTGCATGTAACTTTTGTATTTGGCAAACAATAGCGCGGGATATTATAATGCATTTTAGATTTTCGGAAGTGCTGCGAAGACGTTGTTTGATAAAATCTACCTTTCGTAGCTGGATATAAATGCTCGTATGCGTGCAATACAGTTGCAAAAAGATGTGGAAATGCATGATGCCACTTGTAGAAGCAAAGGCTAAGCCAATTATTCCTAGCGAAGAAAATCACACCACATTAAACTTATGTAGCCTAGCCAATCACATTTTAGGCATAGCATTTGCGCCTGTTTGGATCAGGGTGGTTTGTGTCGCATATTCTATCACTAAGGTGCAATCTGCGGTGTATTTCACATATTCTTGAGACACTATGCTTGAGTATCACACCTTCAGCGTAATTTTGTAACTGTTTGTTAATAACATCAACCAATAAATAGTGATCCATCGGAGTTCAATAGTCAATACATATCCACAGCAAAAAACTTGATATCAAGTTTAAGCGACCAAAACATTGCATTGCAGAGACAAGAATGTTGAACAGCTACGTAACATCGAGCACGGTTGTATGATTTTTCTTTCACAAACCGCATGTGCATTGAAAACAATCGCGTGTGCCTTTACGGTCACATGGTATAAAGAGGCGACAATGCAACAGAACAGGGAAACATTACGTCAATACTGACACACACATCAACGAATCTTTGGTTACAGATTTGTCTTCGTTTCATCTTGAAGTGTGTATCCGTGCCGAGAGAATCGCATACCCTCCGGCACAAGAAGTGCAGTTTCAAAGGGAGACGGTGCGCTCACCCACGCTATGTCCACACAATGTTTTGCGGTGGTCGCTTTAACACTTCGGAGGCATCACACACTGTCGCGGCTCTCAGCGCAAAGTTTTACGACCCGCTAGCGCGCTGGAGCACTGCCGCCTTTGTTGTTCGCACAAAGTGCAGACACTCTGAATGACACCGGCTTTAGAAAGGAGGCAATCCACACGAACCGTGACGATAGAGATCACAGCTAGGAAACAGCACACTGCACATTGCACGCATCATACACATCACACATAAAGTGCACGCCGCACATAACTATTGTGCACATCTTGCACTGTGCAGAGTGTACAGCGCGGTCACGCCACATCGCCATCAAACAGTCACCGGTAAATGTTTTCCGAATCTGTCCGGATGTTCGACAGGTAAGTCATCATGTTCATTCACTCGCATTCCACTCCTCACGGAATGAAGAATTATCCAGCCCACCAGCAGCCAGCAGTGACACTGTATGTGACGGTGTTGAAGGTGACAACGAACTCGGGCAAACGTCCCGAGTGGCTGATGCGCTCATTAGGGCCTCCATCAGCCGGATAAGCCAGTCTGGGCGGGCACCAACCTCTCAGGCAGCTTTCTAACACCGCTCACACCCCCCTGGCCACTGTGACTGTTGTTGCGGCTCTTCACACCAAGCCTCATCCCGGAGCGTCTCTTTCCGTCCACTCTGTCACAGCAGGTGTGCACGGGTTAGACGCGGGGTCATCTTCAAATCACGTGAACTATGGTGTGGAAGGCCGTGTCCCATCCCGGCAAAACCAGGACGTTTTTTCTCTCAGGTGTTGTCCTCATCTGTCGATGAACAGGCGTAAGTCCAATGCGTTGGATGGACACGAAGAATGTACGTACCTCTATATTTGGTATTTTGTAAGCCGCTAAAGATTCATCGTATTTGTAAAGCTGGTAGTTGGTGCAGTGGAACTGGCGTAAAGTTATAACGTACCGTGCTTGAGCGCTATATTTGACCCGTTCAATGTGCCTTAGTAACGGTGAATGGACTGAATGTTTCGCTATTGCGTCGTAGTTCCTTATTAGATTCTTTGCAAAATAATAAATGAAAGATAGTTTCTACTTTCCGTAAATGAATCACTGATAAATTTTACTGAAACTAATCACTGCACTCAGCTATTACCACAGGATTCAGGAAGCCCATGTAATACATTATTAGCCTTCATATTTGATCGTTGGCTGGATTTGAGCTGGACCGCCGGCCGCGATGGCCGCGTCGCTCTCCAATCTCCATGGCAACACGAGGCGACAGCGCTGATGAGCGTATGAATATGATAACTACACAACTAATTAGCTGGTGTCCTGGACTTACCGGTTGGCAGGGCGACTATCACGAACAGTAGAGCGGCGCTGGCAGCCAGCAGCGAGAGCCCAGGGGGTGCCTTCAGACCGGCGGCCCGACTGAAACTCCGCGACTCGAGCGCTGCCGGTCACGACACGGGATCGTCAGTTAGCGGCACGGAAGGGGCCCAAAAGATTCATTGAAACCGGTTGCGATGGTCAGTGTTGGAAACGGTTATACATAAGTGACGATTTGTTAAAGGTAGTGTGCCACCTTTGAAAGATTTCCCGTTTTATTTTTCCTAGGATAAGAAGCTTCTGTTTTTACCTAATATCGCAAAAAAAAATCAAAAATGGGCCTGGAATAGTGCCTTTTTCGCCTAAAAGTTTATCGGTTTTTAGATATGTATAACAACTGTAGTGGGCTCACCTGCAAACAGGCGTCGGGCAACAATCGCGAATGCGGCGCACTTGTGACAATAAGCAAAGGTCATTATAGTGTTACGACCATACGACGTACGGGAATGAGTTATCAGCTGTCTAATCGTAGACAACACAATGTCGAGCCTTAAACTGTAAGCCTGTATTGGTATTGTTTCTTAAATTTGGCTGTCGAACATTAATTTGTGGTTTGAAATATGATTTTATGTAAAATGATTGATATGAAACAGCCGTCTCTTAAGTTATGACCCCATTACACCACACGCAAGTGGCAGAAATGACAATGATCAGCTGACGCATTTTTCTTGGCCGAAGTCAGAGCGCGCGGCCCGACGCACCACGCGTATTTGGAAATTCCGACCTCGACGAGCATCAGAAGTCACCTAACAGGCGTGTTCGAAACCGCAGGAGATGATGATGAACGGGTTTATCGAAACTTGATTGGATGAGCCTATCGGTAATAGCGATTTTAGTGTGTGCATTTATTGTTCATAGTGGTGTGAAATGTGGTTGGGGTACGACCGACAACCCGTCGGGGCGAATTTCGCACTGGGGTACTCAAAATTTGAAGAATTTAAGACGTTTCCATGAGTTTTGAAGGTATGGATAAGTTCTAAAAATCCGGTTCTCCTTATCCGGGTCATTAACTCCATATGGTCCAAGAAAGCTGGCACACTACCTTTAAGAGGGAGCTTGAAGGAAATTCAGTAGGAAACCATGTAGTTGGTCTTTCACTAATGACTAGACTGAGACAATATGGCACTCACCCTCTCCCCTGGCGAGAGTGGAGAAGTGAAACAGGTCGGAGACGGCGCTCCAGCCGTGCCGGTTGCGCGCCTGCACGTGCAGCTCGTAGGTGGTGGCCGGTCGCAGTTTGGTGAGTGGGATCTGCTGTCTGTGCAGAGTGTCTCCGACCACCTCACTGCCGGTCGGCGGTACGAGCACCTCGCGCCAGCTGGCCGACCGGTCCTCACGCGTCAGGTTCTGTCAACAGTCGGTCCGGCTAGTGTTACCAATTGTGAGGTTTCCTGGGGCAACACAGCCCTCGGGCGCTGGCCGCTGCTTTCCGCGGAGATTCCGACTGCAGTTGCGCCCCAGGCTAATAATGAGCACTCCTGACGGAAAATATGTGCAATATTACGGACCGCTGCGGTCCTGAGATGGCTTTCAAAGGTGGGCTTTGATCAGATTCTTTAGTGGAAGGCAGGCAAGCAAAATCGCATTGCAAAAAGTTCATTTCATATTCACACACGAAAGGATTCCTAAGGATAAGGATGTTATATCAGTGCGACGAGGTTTTATTGATTTCAATGATGCATGCACAAATCTAAAACAGAATCTCTTTCCTGTCATCCAAATATTTTCATTGGCTCATTTATAAGCCCTTAATTATTTGATATCTTCCAGTATGGTTCCTCACCTTTCCGAGTCCGTAGGCGACTTTGTACTCTAGCACTGGTGAGTAGCTGCGGACCTCCCAGGACAGCTGGTAAGAGTCCGGTGCCGCGCCGATGGGGCTGCTCGTAATGTGAGCGCGTCCGGGGGCACCTGAAACCGTACACATTACATAAACCGTGCACATTACATAATCGATATATTCTATACAGGAGTAAAAATAGGTGATGGGTGGCAGTGTCCTTACATTTTGAGCTCCAAATGTGCTTTGAGCAGTTTATATGATTTGTGCTACCTAACATAATATAATTTTGGAGTTTCAAGAAACATGTATGTTTAACATTTATAAAGCTGCACTCATTTACATTTTGAGGTGGAAATCGCGCCACGGAGTTATGCTAATGCGCCCTAGTCAATCATCCACTGCAAATGCGCTTGCAACAGCTAATGCATCCCGAGGTCCGTCTGAGGGTGACATCTATTTCTCAGCGGCAAGCGAAACTCTTGTACTTTATCTGGAAAGTACAACGCTCGCTCTTTTAGTTTTATTTTCAGTCAACACACATGTTAGTCAACATGCATACCTAATGAACGGTGGTAATTATTAGCGAGGTTTCGGAGTGTTCTCAATGGCACGCCAGTTTCCAGTATAACAGTGAACTTTCCGAACCGTTTGTATGTAATGCGCTGAACCCACCGTATACGAATTGCAATCTCGTAATGCAGGCGGCTGGCCCGTTCCATTTTCGTTCGGCACTGAGGCGTTCCTCTCCAGTTGGCAATAACTCTGTTGCACAAAAGCCTCTGGCACGGCAAATGACAACACTAACAGGAATTGGAGGCAGTGACCGCACTAAACACAAATTGAAGGCGTAAATCGGCTCACCTGAAAGTGCCATGCGACCGGTGGCGGTGCCAAGCGGGTTAGAGGCCTGGCACGAGTAGGTGCCGAAGTCGGCCATCTGGACAGGCCCGATGGTGAGCACGTGCCGCGTGCCGCCCAAAACCTCCTCGGACGGGACGTGGCGGCTCGGCTGCAGCGCTCCCTCGTCTCGGAGCCAGCGCACCTGGCGCCAGCGATTCGCTTCATTAGAGAACTTACCAAGCTTTAGTTAAGATAGATAATTCGATGGAAAGCGGTAATCAACTTCCAGGGAGGGATTTTTTTTTTACGGTGGAGTTGGCGGAACAAAGAGACAACTTCGGTCTAGTGCTCCGCGTACGGATCGTTCAGTGGTGATTGTCGTGTGCCTGGTTCTAGTTTTCTCTGGTTATCCAGTTAGAATAATTCTAAGAGCATATTAAAAAAAAACAGCTGTGACTGTATGAGTGACGAGCCTGGTGACTCACTGTGAGATGCATTCCAAGTTTCCGAATAAGTAGGTTGACTTAAAGTTATTACGATATCAAGGAAACTCTGAACTCATTCAGCCGAAGTATGATAATGTGAGGTTCAAGGCATTAAAAACTCATCTCACTTTAGCGATGACCCGACTGTATACAAACCATCTTCTTCAAATACGAAACCTATCACTTCTCACGGTAAACGTAAGACTTGAGTGATTTGTGTGGCGAATTCATCACAGGTCTCCTTCTCAAAAGCCGAAGAGAGCACATCACAGCGGACTGATCCATCATCGCTATCACCCATCACGCCGCGGTGTGGTAGGATTTCCCGGTACCCCAACAGCACATGGCTGGTTTTGAGCCCTCGCCGTCGGCGGCTGAGCGGGTGTGAGTCCGTAAATGATGGCGTTTCATCTAAGATCTTACCTCAGCTTGTGGGTCAGCGAACACAAAGCAGACCAGCTGCGCCTTGTACCCCTGGCCCGAGTGGACGACGCTGTGCTCCACCTCCACCTCTGGCGGATCTGCGGTCAGAGGTCGGGTCATGTCAGTCCCACCAACAGAATCGGTACAGACGGGTAGAATTGCACATAGCTATAGAGCCTGCACCCAACGCATTGCTCGGCTGCCAATGGCTGGCACAGACAGTACTGGAATGCTATGAAACATGTTATTTTATGGCGGGACCATCATGCACAAGCAACAAACATAAAACCACGAAATATTACGAACCTCCAATACAGAGACTGCAGCATGTCATATGGCGAACCAAAAAGGTTTCACAAGTATCGAGGTTTAGGGCATACGCTGAACCTGAGGATGCACGCTGGGACTTACTAAGATCGCAATTAAAATTATGGAACTCACACTGAACCTGGAGACTGACGGTGCCGACCCCCGGCTTGCCGAGACCGTTTTGGGCGACACACTCGTACACCCCGGCCATTTGTCGGGTGACCTCGGAGATCGTGTAGCTGCTGCCCGCGTGTTGGGCCTCGCCAGAGGGCAACAGGCCCACCTGGCGAACCACACAATCGTGTGAGTCAAAAATGGCATTGGACTGCGTGCGAGTGCGTCAGTAAATTATTAAAATCAAATCTAAACATCACATGTTTCCAAGAAAAAAACGCTCGGTTTCTGCGAGCAAACTGACCTGTTTTCTCCAGAACACGGTCGGCGTGGGGTTTCCTGTCGCTGAGCATTCAAACTGAGCCTCCTTGCCTCGCTCCAGCACTAGCACTCCATTGGACGGAGCTGTTGTCACCACTGGACCATCTGAACAGGGACGGTCAGTGTTCAGAAAAGTCACCGAGAATATGTAATACACGTATGTGTTGCCATGACTTTGTCCTGAGGAAGGTCCCGTCGAGGTCTGTTCCCCATCCCTCGTCGTCGCCCTCGCTGCGCCAATGTAAGCACTTCACCCACGCACACTCCGCAGTGCACAGTACCATTCAGCGGCCACCACAGGCTCAATCCGAGGGCGATTTGGGCGGGGATAATAGTCGCGGCTGGTCCCCTGCTCGGCGGCGGGCGGCACTGCGCGCACCAGTCTATCATATCGGCCCCAGGAGCCGGCCGGTCGGGCGTACCACCGCTCATTAATGTACCACTGCAGGTGAATTATTGGCGGCTATTAATGACGGTGATCCGTGTAAAACACGGGGGTGGCTATCACCGGGCCGCTCGTAACGCCACTAACCGACACTAAATGGCTGCAGTTACCGCGAACGGCAATCTAATTTCTGCTGCGCCGCGGCCGAACGGCAGTGTTACTGTGCAAGTCTTTTTCATGGAACTTATCCACTAATTATGATGTTCACCATTCATGGGAGGTGGCCACTAAATCAGATACAGATGGATATTACTTCGTTAACAAGCGTACCGCAAATTAGCTGAGGCTGCGATAACGGCAACATGACTAATAAATCGACTAACGCTATTGTCTCTAGAAAAGTATCAAAAGGTCAAATAAGTCAGATCCTGACAAAAAACGTCCCTCGTCCCCGTTAAAGCCAAAGTTGTCTATGGATTCCCCACCGTAATAATGGAAAGCTTAAATTTGTACAACTAAACTTATCTTCATTTGAAGAACATTACAAAAAAAAGAACAATTTCAGTCAATATTAGCCGTTTTCACGACGGTCTATCCGGCGAGTGCACCTGATTTGACCAAATCTGCACCTAATCTCTTTTACAGCAAATATCTTCATTTTATGAATTTATTTCAGTGTTTTAATCGATGATGCTCTCTGATAATACGACAAAGCAGGCATATAAGCAATTAGTGTCACCCTAGCTGACAGCTACTAAGAGACACGCTGAACCTGATTTGACCAAATCTGCACCTGATCTGCACCAGATGTGTACCAAATGTGTACCAGATGGCCGTCGTGAAAACGGCTATTATTCTAAGTTTACCGAGTCCACGTCGAACTATTACCGCGGTGTCTTTTGCCAGCATTTTAGGCGTCCAGAAGCTCCCGAGTCCCGAGCTCTCAACTCACAGAGCACGTCGAGCCGGTGGGTGAGCTCGGTGAGCGGCTCCGTGTCCAGTGAGCACGTGTAAGAAGACTGGTCGCTGGGCCGCACGCTGGCGATCCGCAGACTGTAGCCGTCCACCAGGCTGTAGCGCGTGTCGCGCGCCACAATCGACTCTCGGGCGCTGATGACACGCCGGCCTTTCTTCCAGACCACGATGTAGGGACCTGGTGCGGAGCGATGACAAAAATTATTAGCAATGATCATTGAACATGCTTCGGACGAGAAGTCTTCCATTGACACAATTCGTGCAAGGCACCCATTTTACACTTACCTACTACAATATACATGCCCAAGCAGAAGTCCCCTATTTCTGCAAAAACTCATGGTGCCACATTTCTGTAACTTCAAGAGACCTTGAGGCTTGAACCACGATCGAAAACATACGAGGGGAGAGCCTGTCCTCACAAAGGGTCGGCGCCAGGCATTCGTTTCGCAGTTGATGCCATACGTTTCGTAGTAACTTTGGTCCCTGAAGGCTGCAAAATGCATCCTTCCCGGAAAAGCGGTCACACTCGGCCCGAGTCCGGGGCTATCCAAGTCGCGAAGGCGAGATTCGAACTGTCGTAAACGAAACAAACTGCCTCCAATCCTTCTACTTCTTGGAATAAGCGCCAGTAAAATCCACACTTGCGTCCTTACGGTCGTCTCTAATACGGCCATCAAACAGGTAAATATAGAAATGAAATATTGCAAATAGCCTAGCTTCAAAAGATGCATCAACAAGGGATTAGACCGTTTTGGCGAGATCGTTGGTTGATTTCGATTCATTACAAACGGCGCCTTTAATAACTATTTCTTTTCTCACTATTCCTAACTATGTAGCAATGCATTCAACGCGACAATAATGTTGACAACCAAATCAGTCCGCATGCGAGCTGGAACAAAAGCAGCGTCTGAAGCATGCATTATATAGCGGTGAGTCTACATCGATAAGGCAAGCCCAATTCTCGTTACAATGAAAAGATAAAGGAGGCGCTTCTTCCGAGCTCTAAATCCCTTCAGCCGCTTAACAGTGAAAGCTATGACCTTCTCTTGAGCCCAGATCCACGAAGTGGCTCCCCAGAGACAGGAAGACATTTTCCAGCCTTTAATTCGTGGCTAATGGTACGTCGTTAAAAAGAGTGATGTCTTTATGGAACAAAACTCACATCAAATTATTTGATAAGCGCATGTTTCGCCCCATCACCAGCTATAACTAGTTGATAAAACTGGGCGTCCGTTGGCACCGTGACTTAGTGAAAGGGAAGAGTTGCACAACGCTAGTGAACGCCCAAACATTTACTGCTCCCCGAAAGATAAGAAACACAGGCTCGTTTTTATAAATAATTTAACGATGAGTTATTAATATTTTCTGTCTGAACGTTATAATGCTTGTTCATTTTATAAAGGAAAATACATTTTTAAGGAGACTCTGCAGTCTGCACCGATATATTATCAGCCTTAAATTCGTCATTGAATCCGTTTTCAATGACCTATTTTGCCCATCCTGAGAACATGTTGACTTGTCACAATCAATCAACGCCTGCGTGTCGCTGTTTCCCGGGTCATTTGGTGTTGCGGCCTCGGCCGTCCCTCCCTCTCAGTCTCTGCCAAGAGCGGGCGAGTGCTGACTCCACACCAGCTCAGCGCCCACCCAACAGCGGCACCTGAGGACCCTTCAAAAGCGCGCCACTCGGCAATCAGCACCAGCGAGTGTTGACACACCGAGCTTCGCGGCTCGCGCCTCTGTGGCTCGTGATAGGCACCGGATTTGACCAGGCTGTTCGGCTATCTGGTCCGCGGCCGCAGGCTCCCAGAGGCCGCTGAAGCATGGTGCCCCAGCGACCGCCGGGCCGCTGTCTCTGCTAGAATAGCTCCGGGGCCATAGCTTTGTTATAGCCCGTAATTTGGTACCCATCGAAAGGTCATCTCAAGATAATCGCGTACATTTTATTTGGGAAATTAATAGAGCTAAGTCCCATAACCTAGCAAAAGTATAGACGGAGTCCGCCGATGTTCAATATTTCAGATCCCGATGATATTAAAGCTGTCCCTCATTGTTATTAAAACTTAAAAGCAATATCTGCTGGTCGATATGAACCGCATAAACTTGCCGAATGACAGCAAAGAGTAGTAAGTTTGAGATCCAAGCCGCTTCGATTTAAAATACAGTCCAAATTCAGTACATTTCACATGAACTGAGTATTGAAATGTCCTGGCACCTTTTAAAATATGCACTGGTCGAGAGTTGAAGACTGTCAAACACTGATGAATCCAAAGGTGCATTTGTGGTATGTGGAAGTGGATGCCTCTCCTCCCCGCAGCGCTCGAAATAACGCAAAATTGCCATTTTCCTACGTTGAAGCCAGAGAATGCCTGTTCCGCAGTGACGTGTGTAAAAAGAAACAATCTGTTAAATTTAACTGTGAAATGTTTCGGCAATGCTATACCCGCAGCTTTTGAGCAGCACAATGTTTTATGTGTCAATAGCAAGAGTGACGCCATCAATTTCGATAAAGCTGCCGCGGATGCCCGAGGTGCTGCTTCGCTTGAGTTTTGATACAAAGTGATTTATTTCTAGTCAACTTAACCTGAAACACGTCAGATGTTGCGGAGTGAATTGGCACGCCAACGGCTGGGGCATAAAGTGGGCAAGAGGCAGCGGGAAAGTAAAGGGGGGGATTACATATGCTGATGCTTGAGTTTTGGAGTCGCCCAAACAACAAAATTCAATTTTCCAAGAGGAAAGGGGGGCATGGCATGACCATTAACCTTCGCCCCAGTGGGGGGGGGGCATATGTTACCACCCTGTCGCGTTTTTTGCGTGTGAATAAAAAACCGCGGCGCGTAGCGCCGCGCCGCTTGGGGTAGCTTTTGGTACATCAATTTTGGACAATGTGTGAAATTTTTGACCCCAGGTCATGTCAGGTCAGGTCACCAGGTCAAGTTAACTGACCAAGCCTAAAAAAGTTTGCAATCATGTCCAGCCTGCAGTGTTTGTCAGAAAGGTTTTAAACTTGGTGGATTGCATGATCTTATGGGCGCCTACAATTTGTATATCTCGGATTTTTTATATCCGTGACCTAAGGTCAGGTCAGTGGCGTGACCTTTCCATTACAAGTCAATGGAGAAAAATGAAAATGCCTCTAGATCCGTGTGTACGCATAGGAACAGTCCAAATATTTCAGAATCACAATGATTTAGTCCACTCGTGATGACCAAGGTGTCATTTTTGCTGATAGCCTCTAGAAAGGTCATCCGAGGTCATTTGAGGCTACAAACAGTTTTTTTTGCCAATAACTCGCGATTGGAAAGAGATAGAACGCTGGAGATGGTCTCATTGTGTTTGTCTTGTTGAGACGCATCGACTGATATGCAACATGACCTTTTCCGGTCAGGTCATGACCTTGACCTGAGGTCAAAATTTCAAGTTGACCTTTCAAGGTCAAATTATTGGTCATTCGACGCGTCTCGGCGAGGGGAACACGATTCTGGCTATAGACATGTCGTGGCTTTTTGTAGTCGAAAGTTATTGTCGAAAAATACTTTTCGTAAAAACAGCTATTTTTGGAGTTTTTGCCCTCTGGAGGCTAAACCGTTGACCTGAGGTCAATATTGATAATGACCTTTTCAAAAGAAGAGTTCAATAGCTATCGATTGCTCTTCCATGCGTTTTTCTAGCTACCATAGTTCCTGAGATAGCGGCATGTTTTCTGAAAAATATAATGACAAATGGCAAATTTTGACCTTTGATGACCTCTGGTGACCCCAATATTGCTCTAAGGTGAAAAATGATTGAAATACTTTCAAACGTACGCATTGAGAGCTATCGGCTGCTTTTTACCGCGTCTTTCTAGCCCTCTTAGTTTTTGAGTTAGAGGTGGGTGGTAACATATGCCCCCCCCCCCCCACACTAGGGCGAAGTTGGCTGAGACCGCCACTGGGGCGCGGGTTAACAGATGGTTAACAGATGGTGGACAGATGGACCATTAACAGATGGTGTAATTGATTTTAGAAAGTGATTCTTTTTTAATTATCGTACCTTCAAATGAGAAAAAAACCCGTTCCCTACTTGCGCAGAGTGAATGTGAAGAGTTTTTAAAAAGTACCCACAGTTACATTCATAATACATTCATAATACATTGTATACCTATGTTATATAATGCAATTACCTGCGCCACCGGTGGCTGTGTTAACAGCGGTAATGCCCGTAACATGGGTTGTTGGGGACCCAGATCTGCACCGCACGCTGGTAGATTTTCGAGCCCGAGAGCGAACTGTAATTTATCCCTGCTCAAGTCGCGGCGAGCCTACATGAGCACGGCTGCGTTACCTCGTAAAATGGTAATATGGAGGCCATTTGCTCTCTTACGCTGCTCGGTGCCAGCCGTTATGAGTTGGTTCGTTTCAGACTACAAGAGGACTCAGAGGGTCAAGGTACTCTTGTGGGGAAGCGAGATTACTGTAAAAGCAAACCCGATACCATTGAAATAAATTCGTTTAATTTAATCGAGCTAAGTAAAGGAAAACCAGTGTGAGAAAGAAAAAGATGAAGAAAGATAGAATAGAAGGATAGAAAGAAGAAGATAAGAGAGAGAGAGAGAGAGAGAGAGAGAGAGAGAGAGAGAGAGAGAGAGAGAGAGAGAGAGAGAGAGAGAGAGAGAGAGAGAGAGAGAGAGAGAGAGAGAGAGAGAGAGAGAGAGAGAGAGAGAGAGAGAGAGAGAGAGAGAGAGAGAAAGAGAATGGAAGGAAGAGAGAAGATGCAAACAGGAGAGGAGCCAACGATAAGAAGTTGGAAAACAAAACGAGAAACATTTTATTGACTTCTTTGACTAACACCCATTCCTTTGCTATAATCGTTGGATAGCATTATTCAATCGGTTACAACCAGTGACGGATAGTGCATACAACTATTAAAATCTGGTGGCTGGACTGACCTCTGTTTTTTATCTCACACGGTAGCACGACGTCCTTCCACTCCCTGGCCTCGAACGACCTGGGACTCGTTATGAAGCTGGGAGGCGGCACTTCGCTGTCTGTCTGCGCATCGGCTGACGCCGGGCCGAGACCTGGAACAGAGAAGACAGAGTGAGACTGACTGGTCAGTGCAGCAGGTGCGCACCAACCGAGCAGTGTTCAAACGTAGTCACCTACTTCCGTCTGATTTTGAGGAAACGTGACGTATTTTGCGGCGAATATTTTAGCGAACGTCCAGAATATTATCAGATATGTGAGAATATTATCAGATATACCAGTTATGTCCCTAACTATAGAGATGTGTAATAGAGATGTGGTATGTACAGGGTGATTTTTTTAACTGTTAAAAAGTAAACGTCAATGGTGGTCCCTAAATCGAAAAATTTTGTGCAAAAAAGCAATGCACGTGATAGATAAATCTGGGACATTTTGTATGGTGTCATTATTTGTCCCTTTTAACCGAAGGCCTCGGCCCCAATGGAGCCTGAAAATGTCCCACCAATCGGGCACGCATGGTCCACCGCCGTTCAGTAAGGAACGACACAAAACGATGATTTTGAAGCATTGAGGCAGTTCGAAGCATACGATCATTAAGGAGATACCTCAGAAAGACGTTAAATAATGCACGAACAAGCTTGTAGTCATAAATAACCTTCAAACGGCTCATCTGGCGTATGTGGAGCCTCTGAAGAATCAGTCTTCAGGGAGAAACAAAAACAGCGAATCAGACACCACCAGGGCCGCCAGTAGCAAAATCCTCGACCTGCCCTTTCTAGACTTCTAGTTTTTGGACCCAGGTATGGCAGATATAACAAGAAAACATTGGAAATATCTGGCAGAGCTGAAAATGGGTGATAGGAGCCTTTTCAGTCCGCCCAATGAGCATGGGAGTCCATGGTGCTGTTCAACACGCGCTCAGGCGGGCTGATTCGTGTCGGTGAGAGAGGGGGTACCTTCAAGCACACGTAAAATACACGATGGTCGTTCCTTCACATCGTGTCTGCATGAAATCAAAATGTCCCAGAATGCTCGTCGTGCTGGTATATAATTTTACAATATATATTTGCATTTTAACCCCACTAAACCTAATTACTTTTTAACAAGTAAAAAAAAATCACCCTGTATAATGTATATATGTATCAAAATATGCATGCATATTGCATGCGTGTGTCGAGCTCACAATTCTGCACGATTGGTTGGACGCGTTTCGTTAGTTGACTTGCATCCTCTTTGAAAAATGTGTATGCATCTGCTGTCATTAGCGGAATATATTGCTCAGCAAGAAGCTGTGCAAAAACAGTTAGTTCCCACTTATGGCTGCCAGAGACACTTACAAAAAAGTGGTGGTTCTTCTTCCATTTCGCTAGTTTGCGAAGAGATATTGAGTGGCTTACCAGTATAACGCCTTATGGGCGACTAACGGAGCGAGCGAGAGGGTGAGCCTTGCACGTGCGAAATTTCGAGGGGTACCTCCAACTGACTTGTGCACGGCACCCTACTATAGTTCGTTTTTTCTAAGTTCGACTCTCACTGTAAACATCTCTTTGAACACAGCACGAGAATTGGCAGCTGAATTACTGAGAAAACTCGTTGGCGCACAATGATTTCGCAGACGATTAATTGTATCAAAATCATTTCTACCTGGCTCCTTTTTACCAGACTCGCAGCTCGGTATTTGCAGCCCCACAAGGATCGACGACTTGTCAGGAAGTATAAGTGAACTAATTAATAAATCGTACGGCGTTTAACGTAACAGTATTTCATCGGTGTTAGAAACTTATTTTGAAAATATTAATTCATATCTCCAATACAAAGTGCGCTAACCAGTTTTCTCAGTAATTCAGCGAGCAATTCTCGTGCTGTTTCCAAAAAAATGCTTACAGTGAGGGTCGAACTTAAAAAAAAACGAACTATAACCGGTCTCTAGCGATGTGCCAAATTTGAGCACAATCGGCCCAGCCGTTCTCGAGATCTGGAATCGGCACCCTGCACGTGCGCACGTGCAAAATGGGTCCCAACTAACTTTTGCACGGCACCCTACTAACCGGCCCCTAACCATGTGCCAAATTTGAGCGCCATCGGTCCAGCCGTTCTCGAGATTTGGAATCGACCCCTGCACGTGCGCACGTGCAGCAGCACCCCAACTCTGGCACATGGATATGCATTGCCTAGTGGGTGCCTACCTACATGCCAACTTTCAGCGCAATCGGCCAAGTAGTTACCGAGATATTGCAACAATTACAAAAGTGACACCTCTTCGTTTTGCACGTGGCACGTGCATAAGGGGTCACCCACATGCATCGGCAATAGTCCAATACTTGGTAGAAGGAATGAAGCTACCCTACAAAAATTACCGCGTGTAAATCGGTCAAGTGGTTGCTGAGATATAAGCTTCGCAAAAGCGTGACCACGGCCGGCCGGCCGGCCGGCCGCTCATACTCAGAAATTTCCGTTAATCTAAGGAAAGACTACGCTCGCTTCGCTCGCTCCGTAATAAGGTAGGTAGTGGCTGAATCGATATCAAATTTTCAATGTATTTGCACATCCCATGATCAACTCCATTATTTTATATTCCATCCACATTCAGGAAAAATGTTACCTAACTTTTGCATTTGCCGGTGGTGCATGCATCTACCGTTTACCTCTAGCCCGCCGCTGTTGAATTCCGGTCGGGTCGCCGGCGGCGCCCTCGGGTGGAGAGGTGTCCTCATATTTAGGTACCGATAAACAGCGCTGAGTGGGCCAATGCCCCGGGGACACGTGCGCTGCGAAAGGATGGCAAACACCGCCCCTCGCCGCGTGGGCCCGCTCTGCCGTCACCGCCAGCCGCGCGGCAAGAAACTTTTGATTGGCCTGCTCTCGCGAAAATAATTCAACAAGCTGCACAGTGCACAAATAGATTTAGCTCTTATCGGACGATGAGGTGGGCGAGTTTTCACGAATACTTATTTTGTAGCATTGATGGAAGTCGGAGATGAAATTCTGGTTAAATATTGCTGGAATGAAGGCGGATTGTCATGGTATGTAGTCAGGCATGTTACATGCGGTGGGATGACACTGTTAATGCTGTTATAGTTCTAAACTGCAAACTTTGTTAAACTCTGCTAACTGTTGAATTGTTGCGGAGTCGGTAGCCCTAAAACTTCATGCTTGAAACTATAGGTACGTAAGCACACAACAAGCGTTATTTGCGTCCTAAGACGAGCCTCTAAGAGGCATCTAAGCATCCAAGACGAGCATCATGTTCTTGCCCGTGTAGCTCAGAATCATTGAAGGTCAAATATGATGCCAAACGTATTCAGCCCGCAACCTGAGAAGCAGTAATGTATGGAAACTGGGACGCATAAATAAGGTCACTTTTTATGCATCGTTTTTCGAATGTCGGAGTTGCTTCCAAAAACTGCATATCTAAAAAATAAATAATCTAACATTTTTAACCGCTACCGCTATTCAATTGATTAGACAGAGGTATATCAAGTCTCCTAAAGACTGTCAAAGGTTCACTTGTGTAAGTTTGGCAGGCGATCTTTTTCATTTGCAAGTTAGACATCAATGCAGCCATTTATGATTGATTGGTTCCAAAAAGAAGTTCTTAAAAGAAGAGATTACTTGATCACATCCGTGTCCACCGTTTTTAGTTTATGCTCTTCACTCAGGTAGAGCTTGACCCACTCCTCTAGACCTCTAAGGCTATCCTTTCACTGGCGACTTAGTATGCTGCCCTAACAGGGTTCTATAGAAGCCACAGGCAGCTGGATGCTGCTGTCCTCATGAGGTTCTGCAGATTCGAGAAAAAGCACACTGCTGCTCTTATGCTGTCCTGCAGCTGCAGACAGCTGGTCTCGGCCTCGCTGTCAATAACGGATCGCTGTCAGCCTTTCACCTGTGCGTCATTCGTCCGTGGCGCCTTCCGCTTCAGCGCCGGCGGCAGGGGTGTCTATCGGCCATCGATTCCACGCGGCTGGCCCGAAGGAGAGAGATGCGCGGGTGGTTCTTATGTTGAGCAACTGCAGTGGTGGCAACGGCGGTGGCAGCGGTGGCGGTGGTAGGTAGCATCGGTGGCAGCGGTGGCGATGGCAGTAGCACAACGATGATTGTGCAACCAGCAACAGCACCATGGCAGCAGCAGCAGCAGCAACGGTGGTAATTTGATTGACGGTGGCGACGATGACGATTGAAGTGTAGAAGGAAGTGGTGGCGGAGCGGCGATGACAGTGGAGGCGCTGGTAGTGTTGGTTTGGAGATGACAGCAACTTTGGCGATGACTACAGTGACAGTGGCGATGGCGGCGATGACAGCAGTGGTGGTGGCAGCGGCGGTGATGGCGTAGACGATGGCAGTGGCGGTGATGTCGATGGCAGCGCCGGCACCTTCCAACGCTGATTGGCTGACCGCGGCTGTCGACGTCAGGCGGTGCCGCTCCCATGCCACTCACCGCAGGCAAATTTGTATAAGGCCCATAATAACCAGGTGCCGACAGCGCCCGTAATGTTTACCCAGCCTCCTCCTTTGCCAGTCAGCTCCCCATCGCTCAGAGAGTGCAGGTGCAGTGGTTTAAGGTAAATTAGGCCACAAAATTGTAGATTTGTTTTCGTAATAGTTAAATAACATATATCAAGCTTGGACATGGGATTTGATGTTAATTCTTATGAAGCACGCATCTATGGGGCTTAAGTTAAATATTTTTAAGGTTATGACAAAATGGAAAGAGCAGAATAGAAGATACATACTCGTTGGAGTAGGGATACGTATGCCTCGGGAGAAATAGAAAAGCTGACAAGGATAAAAAGGAGTTGTTCGTGCCTCCAGCCCATATTTACAACTTGCTACATAAACGTGCGTAGTAAAATACTAATAGAGCTACTATCAAGATCGGCGAGCGATCAAATCTCGTTTTAGTTCATAAATCAGCATAATTCAATTGGCGAGATGAGTCTAGCCGGGACGTGAGGATCTGAGCGTATGCCGAGAAACTTCCAGCCAACTTCCTTCTGAGAAAATGAGACACTGCTGCATATTGGCGGATTTAGAGAAGCGATCTCCGGCTCAGCGTAGGGTACGCAACGCTTTCACAAAAGTTGACTCAAATTCT